TTCCAACCCCTATGATATTGTGCTTCTGTGATAATGCTCAGCTCTCTGCTTCTCATGCTACCAGTTTAAAAGGCTTAAACTACCACACCGCCAGGGAGTCAAAAAAAAGTTAGACTTCAAAAACAGTCATATGGAATTTCTCTCATTTGCTAGAAAGCATGCATTTCCTACTCTTACTGCATTATTTGAATAAAGCTTAATTTAAAATACACTACACATACATGTCTCCATTAGGAGTTAAAAGAAAAATATTTAAAAGATTACAATTTCCAGAAAAAGCTACTATCCATTTCCTTTGAAGTCAGAAGTTATAATCCACTTCTTTTACAGTATCTTTAGTAGCTGACTGGCTTTTATAGTCAAAAAATACATAAAGTCAAAAAAGACATCTCTGAGAAATGCGAATGTCTAGAATTTTATACACAAAAAAGAATGAAAAATCAAACTTCAGAAACTATAATTTCATACTGATGCTATTTTATTCTCTCAGAAGTTCCTATGAAAAGCATTGTAAGATCACACACCGATCACATTACTGTTTTCAATATGATTTATTCTATACTGAATTCTAAAAACAATTAGAAGGATTGACAGTAACTTGAGTGAAAATCCACTGGATCATTCTTCCGTCTAGTTCACAGCAAAGAAAGACAGAGTAGAGCACAGGCAATTCTACTTACTTTTCAATCTTTAGGTAGGCCATGGCTCTGTTAGCTGGCAGAAGTGCATTGGTGCCATCTGCTGCTATACCACGGGTATAACATTCTATTGCAGTCTCATACTTTCCTTCTTTGAAATAACCATTACCCTGTAATATTTAGGTTAGAAAAAAATTGCATTGAGAAACATCTAGTGCAATAAGCTTTTCTTATCCTTTTTAGGAGACAGGGCTGTAACATTAAGAAGATGGATCACAAAGGACACCCACATAAAGGGCAGATATTAATGGCATATTTCTTCATATCTAAGCTTGGAGGCAGACCACAAAAAAAATCTTTTCTAGTACTTCAAGGATAAAATAAATTTTACTAGCTGCATAGTTTAACTGCAGACTTATAGGTCTATAACTTGTGATTTATCTTTACTCTTGATGCGCAGGGTAAGCCACTCTGTACCTCCTGAATTTAAACACAAGCTGAACCTTCACAATTCTTCTTTCAAGATTACTTTTTGCACTGCAGAAATGCATCCTTATCCTGCTACATCCATGAAACTGTTATCCTAAAATATTACTTGGGCCCAAACATTGCTGCTATTTTCTAATTAATGCTCCATACAACAAAATTACATTACTTCGTTAGTTTCATAGAATGGTTTGGGTTGGAAGGGACCTTAAAGATCATCTAGTTCCAACCCCGCTGCCATCAGCAGGGACACCTTCCACTAGACCAGGCCACGCAAAGCCTCATCCAGCCTGGCCTTAAACACCTTCAGGAAGGGGACATGGACAACTTCTCTGAGCAACCTTTTCCAGTGTCTGAACAGGAGACTAAAGTCCAAGAGACTAAAATTATCCTTTGCTCCTCAGGACTAATACAAAGCCATGTAGTACCTTTTCCACTACCATTCTACTCATTGGTAAAAGAGCAAAGGCCACAGTTCAGACTTGACCAGATCCACATTGCCAAAACAGGCCCACATTACCAGGCTAACTCTGCTACCAAAGAGGCACTGCACTGGACTGAAATTTCTTTTCTGTGGCCTCTTCAGACTTCTGTTCCTTTTATTTACTTAATGTATGCTTTCATTCTTTTCCTACTAATTAACTCTTACAACCAGTATAGGAAACCTGAATATTGACAAAAAGTCAGAAGTTAATTGGCTAGGTAAGAGAACAGAAAGAAAATTATGTTTCAGTTGATAATGTTGTTTCTTAATTGCAACAGCGAGGAGATGGAGAAATCAATAAGCCAACATGGAGCAAAGACCATGTATCCAGAAATACATTTTTATTGTCATTGTTGCCTGCCCTCCCTGAAGTTCTTTTTGTAACTACTTTTCACCATGTAATCAGAGGTTTGAAAACACAAGAAATGGTCCACAACTCTACTAGCACAAGTAGGGGTCAAGATGCATATAATACTGGAGGAAGGGGATCATCGCAAAATACAGTTTAATTTCTACTTATCTTACTACATATTTGAAATTTATCACATACAATTTGGGCTGTAAAAGCTACTTTGTATAAGCATTCCTCCAGAAGAGACTAAACAGAACTCGCTGGCTCTCTCCCTTCCCTAGAGAGCCCAAAATGGGAAACAATTAATTAAGGTTCTATCGAGGAGAGTGTATTTATGAAGTTCAAGACAGTATCAGGTTTAATTTCTACATTTTCATAGCTAATAGCACAGCACTCTTCTTTGCTAGTTCTCTCCTGTTCCACCAGAACCTGTGACTTACGAGATCTTTTTCTGTAATAGCCTTCTGCTTGAGCTGCTGGTCTTCAATGCGCTGCTTCTCTTCATCTGTTAATTCTGGTCTGACTGCATCTTCAAGCTCTTTCTGTTCTGAACTTTCTTTTGATGACAGAGCCTGGAAAGATATATATTTTTCCCTCAATAAGTACTTCTCCCATTTACATATTTTCAGAACATGAATTACAATAAATTCTAAACTTTTAAGATGCAAAAATCTGCCAAGCATTTTAACAGAAATGCCTGTGTTTTAAGTGGAATGCAAATTACATAATTCTGATAATTCTAAACTAATCTTGAAAATGTGTTTCTATGAGGAACTGCGAGTCAGAGTATTACTTGGTAAATAAAAAGTATGTAATTTCTGAAACACAATGTAAAATGACCAATGGAACCTGTCTATATATAATCACAATTCACAAGTAATTTATTTCTTCCATTACTGGAGACTTTGGGTCTTCATTCTGAGGATAAATTTTTCAAGCACTTTCAAAACTACAGTTGAAGAGGTACAGGCATATTCACACAGTAATGACAGTAATGACAAGTGAGCTTGTATTTACTGAATTCATCATAATGAACATTCTCTCCCTGTTACAAAAGGGGTCAGACTTGCAGTAGTCATATTATGTTCTGCTAGTATTAAGGCCACTTTCTGGTTTGGCAAACCACAGCAACCAGTGAGACTACGAGCAGCCTAGCATTTCAGCTTTAAAGCCAGGAGAACACATAGGTACATAGTGGTACCTTGTACCAAAATACTAAGCGTGACTGAAAAATCATTAACACAGGAAGTAGAAAAAACATCTGAGGGAAGATTTTATTTTAAAAAATACAGATGTTTGTGGGCACATCCAGTCCTAGTCTGCTAATCCACCATTATACTGATGTTTGTATACATGCTAGTTAATCCAGAAGAAACTCCATTACAGATTTTGACCTTGGTGAATTTCAAATGCCAGAAAAAGCATATGAGATTCTGTTGAATTCAGTTCTTGTTATAAGTTGAAACAGATATAAACTGAAAAGGGTGTATTTAACTGATATTAGGGCCTATTAATGTTATTACCTGATCAATTTTCTTCAGTTCATTTTTTGCTTCAAAGTTGTTTGCATCCAGCTCTAAAACTTTTTCATAATCTATCAGAAGATCAGAAAACAATGCTTCAGGTAGGAACTACAGGCTTGTAAAAAGAGTATGAAATACAAGAGTTCTTTTGAGATAACCCTTTTTTGTACTTACCTAAAAGCCCAAGACATTACAAAGAACTCATTATTCTAAGACATTTAAATTGAATTATTCTAGAACTTCTAATACCTACAGTAATCATTTAGACTCGCTGCTTGAACTTTATCTTGTCAGAAGAATATGTGAAATGGTATTTCATTTCTTTGTTTACAGGAAATTAAAATTAAATTCCTTCACCAAATAATCAAAACACACAAGCTTTAATCAAGAAGACAGACTAACAGTTTGTATGTATTTTAAGGAAAGAATGTAAAAAACACCCACCTTCTTTAGCACCTTGAAGATTTTTCAAGGCAAAGCGAGCAGCCCCTCTTCTGGCATAAGCCTTTGTGTAATTTTTATCTAAAGCAAGTGCTAAATTGCAGTCAGATTCTGCCACAGAAAATCTATTAAAAACATGAATGAGTTAGTTTGGACACATCTAGGTAACAAAACCCAATACTTCAGCAAGTTAGCTTACTCTGAAGCTTTATGAGTTCTCTCTAAAGTGGAAATCTTACATGCTTCAGAAGGGGCACAGAACAAGTATTTAAACATGTTTTGATTCAGAACACATTTAAACAGGAAAGGAAAACACAAGTCGACAATCTCTACTGCAACAGAAATAATCAACTCTATGCCCTTTCTTCCCCCAAACCAAATTAAAGCTATAGAAATAGAGTTCACTGAATCTCGAAGACAAGTTAAACCCTGAACTTTCTTAGTTTTATTAGTCTTTTTTTTGCTGGGGGGAGAGGTGTGTTGCGGGGGGGAGGGGGGGTGGTGGTTAAAGTCTTACACTGTAACACAGAAGACACTGAACTTCCAGCATAAAAACAGAGGCTAAAAAAAAGATGAGAGAGACACTACCGGGTTCCTTATCCTGGTAATTCCTATTGTACTTTGAAACTGCAAACCAGGTTGCAACAGCAGTCTTACACAGACTGTGTTACAACATGATAAGTAATAAAATCAAGACTTAAAACCAGACAAAAAACCTGAAGATAGTATTCAAAAGAAGAAAATATTAAGCATTTAATAATACAAGTCTTACTTCTTCATTCTATAAAAAGCTGATGCTCTGTTTGTGGGCAATACTGGATTGTATGGATCAGAATGCATTCCTCTAGTGTAGCATTTTATAGCTTCATCAAAGTTCCCTTGTTTAAAGTAGTTATTACCCTGCAAATAGAAGAAAATCTTATTAGCAAATTACTGTACATTAACAGACACATTGCTAATTTTTGGTGAAAAAAATAAAAGCAGATTCCTCTGTAGAGTCTTCCTACCCTTAAGCAGATCAACACTCCTGCCCAACTTGGTGTCGTCTGCAAACTTACTGTGGGTGCAATTGATTCCCTTGTCCAGATCATTGATAAAGATATTAAACAAAGCTGGCCCAAATACTGAGTATGACAAACGGTTAGAATGCTACAACCTTTTCCTTCTCTGCAAGGGCTTTTTCTGCATCTATATGGATTCCATCTTCCTCAGAATCTGATTCTGCAGATACAGAATCATGAGTACTATCTTCTTTATCAAGTTCTTCAAGTATTTTATCCTGAAAACAGATTAAAAAAAATTATCTTCATTATAATTTACAAAATACAAAATAAATTAAGCAAGACTTTCGGATAATTAGTAGTGCATTTTTTTTAAGTTCTCTATTGCTTATGTCCTCTTTACTGGGAAGTATTCCACGTGTCAAAAGTCAGATATCTATCCTCTAATACTGCCAGTTGTGTTTAGTCTTATATTCTACTAGAATTATGACCTATCGTTACATATTTTTTTTCTTTAAAGTCAAATTCAATCTGCTGGATGAGAGCACAGACAATAGAAAACTAGTATTTCTCAGTATTCCAAATTGTAAACACATAACCTTTTTTTGGAAGAAAGCTACTTTCTGTGTTCATTCAGTACCCAGCATAGTAAGACACTGACTTGCTGGTTGAACTCTCAGCACTATTAAGAAAATCTTATTTTGGACAGATTCAACTGGGGACAAGACTAAGTTAACAAGCAAATATTCTGACTTACCACATCAAGTTTTCCCCATGCTTCATAATCGTAAGACTTGATCTTGTTTTTCTTGTTTTCCTCAGTGGTTATCTTTGAAGGGATTTTACTTTTGCTTTTCTTCTTTTTCTTAAAAGCCTTGTTTCGAATTGGTGGCAAATTCTAAATTGAAATAAGTCATTTATTATAAACCAGATATTTGAAAGTCACTTGTATTTAATAACCTATAGTACCTATGTCTAGATATAGTATCTGTATCTACTGGCTATTTTTGTTTCGGAAATCCATCCAGCAAGCTGTTCTCAGGAACTCTACAAAGCCACTAAGGATAGCAAGTATAAATCTTTCAATAGGTAATAACAGCAAATATCACAGGTATGACACAAAGTTAAGTTTTAGAAGACAGCTCTGCAGGTATCAGTGAAGTATCACATCAGTGCATTAAGTCAGCAATAAGTTAGTAATACTGATGCTGCAAACAGAAATATTTTCCTAGATCTACCTGGAACCGATTAAAAATTTACTGGCCCCCATCACCTGCAGAGGCTACTGCCCCATGGCTTTGCTGGTGGAACAGTTTACAGAGGAATCTTTGGTCTGCTTCAGATGAGGAACAAGTCAGCTAGGTTAGCTCATACCTTCTATTTAGATATTTTAGGTCAATACATGTAATTCTGCTGAAGCAAAAAGTAATTATTATAAACACTAACACATTATGAATAGCTAAGTTAATAGTGACACTAGACTTGAGATTTTTTACCTCTTCTGGGACACCACTCTGTTTCCTTAGTTCAGAATCCACTTCTTTAATATCTTTTTCCCAGCTCTCCAATTCTCTCATAAAATCCTGCAGCTCTTCAGCATTTTGCTTCATTTGCAGCTGTAGTTCTAGCGCTTTATTTGGTGCACTCATTGTAATCTGTCAAATTCCCAACAGCAGAGGAGGAACATTAAATAGTAAGAGACTAAGAAGAATCAAAATTTAAATGTCTTTCAAAAAATGATGGGAAGCCATGTTATTTAGATAAAACAAAGTATATCAGAACAAACAAGTCATGCTTTCCTAACTAAATGTAAGGTAAAGGGCCCAACAAATCAATGAAAACCCTGAAAGTGATAATAAGGTGATCTCAGTTTAAAGCAATTTCTGCAGTGTTCCCCAGATGACAGAATGCAGAAAAATTTAACACATTAAAAAATAAGTTTTAACTAAAAAAACCAAACCAATCAACAAACCCTATTAAAATACACATGCTGCTTGTATCCGAACAGAAACAAGACATCTGACAAAAGAACTTTTCACTCCTAGAAGTAAGTACGCTTAAATATGCACACATTTTTAGCCCAGGAACAAGTAAACACAGGTTGGTTTGTTATAAAGTCTAGTGAATTACAAGTCCAGAATATTCCTTGAGTATGCTTTTTGTACACATCTGTAGCCCTCCAAGTCCCTAAAATACTGTTTAATAATTATTAATACTCAATAGTCCTCATAAGTTTTGTTGTCTTAATTTTAATGTCTTAAGTGAAAGACATTTTATTATCACAGAAATAACAAATGACAAGTAAAAAGTAACCTTAAAAAAATTCTTGGTTACAATTCAGAAAAAAAACCCACATTTGTATAGTCCATAGCACAAAAAGCTGCAAGGATGAAATAAATGTATTTTGAGAGCAATCATGATTAAGTAGCTAATGATGAACTACATACAAACTTAGACAAAGAAAGCTTTGAATGGCTGTTAACTGTAACCTCTTGACTGAAAGAGCTTCAGGTCCAGTTACAATCCTCATATAAGGATAAATAATCTATTTATAGAGGTAGTAAACACAAGATTTTTAAGGGAGAAAAGGGACTAGATTTCTTCTTTATTTTTAACATCCAATAAGACAATAACCTATTAGCATAGAAATATAAAAATTTATGGGTTAAATGAAGCTAATGACTTCTGCAATACAATGTGCTGTCCATAATTATGAGCAAAAGTCTCATGACTAGTTACTAGTGAACTAACGCTACCAAAGTAGAAATGTTTCTTCATCCTCAGGACTAAGCAGCTGCGTAGATGCCCTGACACACCAGTTGTTCTTCTCCCTAGTTACCTCCTATGCATAGCTGGTAACATGCTCACCCTTAGCACATATTTTTCCCAAAGTATTCTAAGTATTTGGTCTATTTGAAACAAAGTGGAAAGAAACCATAGGTGAAGCAAAAAATGCATGTTTTTCACTGTATTTCCACTGTAGGTGTTTATTATATTTTTCCCCATCTACAACTGAACTGTTTTCCCCCACACTGAACTGTCTCTGCAATATGCAGTTAAATTGACGAAACCTGGGCATGGCCACACCAAATACTCCACCGAGCACAGCACACCCTGGCCAATGGTACCTAGAACAAGATGCTTCAAAAGATGCAAGAAACTACACTGTGATCCTTTGAACTTTTATTTTTGTTGTCAGTGACTAAATAATGCTCTTACACATGTGAAAACCGAGTATCAAATCCAGGTGTTTGTTTTCTGGCATTCTAAAGCATCTTGCACAAGTGTGTAAGGCAAGCCCGCTCCTGTTACCCACCAGCCTAACGCTGCT